GTGTTTCCATTTAGATACTTTTTATGCGCCAAGACATTTTTGTGACAGGGTTTAACTTGTGGCATTTGTTCAGATATAACATAATATAACATAATTTGGTGGCAGATTTTAAGCTCCTTCATAATTTGTGTGTCAGATTTTATGCATTTAGATTATGTTTGTGGCAGATTTTCTATGCTTCAATTGTATTTTTGGCAGGTCTTGTGTGTCAGGGTTATTTTGTAGCCTTCGCCCAAACTTCAAGAGTTTTCCAAGAAATGTTGAACTGTATTTACTAAATTTCATGCTCAAACACGGTCTCGTGAAAAAAACAATCACCCGGGATTCTTCAATTCTTGAGTTGAAATTTCCAGATGATAAGTTTATTCAGCAGACCAAGAATTTTTCTCAGACTCAAGACACTTAAGGCTTCTCTTGACCGTTCAGGTTATTGTTATCAGATGAGACATGCTAACCATGCGAATAAATACAAATGATACAACTGAAGGACAAGGATGAGGATGGATACAGCTAGAGGACAAGGATGATGATAGATACAGCCAGAGGACAAGGATGAGGAATGATACAACTAGAGGACAAGGATAAGGATGGATTCAGCTAGAGAACAAGGATGAGGATGGATACAGCTAGAGGACAAAGGATGATGATAGATACAGCCAGAGGACAAGAACGAGGAATGATACAGCTAGAGGACAAGGATTAGTAATGATACAGCTAGAGTACAAGGATGAGAAATGATACAGCTAGAGGACAAGGATGAGGAACGATACAGCTAGAGGACAAATATGAGAAATGATTCAGCTAGAGGACAAGGATGACAGGTTTTGTTTAATGCAAAATAAAGTTCAAACTGCAGCTCCGAACTTTTCATTCCAATCTTCATACATTGCCAAATCCTAAAATAAATATTTGAAAGAAAAGAAACATTTCATAATTTAAAGAACTGTCCTTGAAAAATTGTCAATCCATTTTCTTATAAATAAACCTTTGTAGCAATATTTTGTGTCTTTTCTATAGCTTAAAACTTAAAAGGTCATAAATTATGTCCATTTCCTCTGTTGTTTTTAAAAGAATGGACAAGTCAGTTTTTAGAAAAACAAAAATTAAAAATATTCAATCTTCAAAGAGATGATAGGTGGATATATAATGCCTTCTAGATAAACAAAAGCTTAAGTAAACCTTCATTAATCGAAAATGCCACTCTTTAAATTGAGAGTAACTTGAAATAATGCCTACACTCTACAGTCCTCTGAAGAATTAGAACCCAAACAAATATCAACCTATATTTACAAAGGAATAGAGTCCTTGCAACAAACTCAAATTCACTAATCCTTCTATCTTAGCAACCTGATGGTGTAAAACTTTGTTATTTCAAACTGAGATTGTTTGAAATTCAGAATTTAAAGTTTGAAATATCCAAGCTCTATACGATATTAGGTTGCAAAAGTCAGAAATCTGAGTTTGTGACAAAGACTTAATTTGTTTTCTATTTATTTAATCGACTTAATAAATAGGCAAAAAATGCAAAGACAAATTTTAAAAAAATTGACTAAATGTTTTTATATGACATCTTCACTCTATTGACTGTATTTAACTAATTTGTAAATGTAGGTTTTCTACGACAGGGTATCCTACTCCTAAATGTCACCACTAAATTGAGAAAAAAATGTTGACGAGGGGGGAAGGTGTTTGTATAAAATGCCTTCTTTTTGAGCGAAAGTCTTATGTTTTTTTTTAAAAGAAAATGGTATTGAAGGTTTTTAAAGCTAGTTTTTGTACATTTTCTTTACACTTTTCAGATTATTAAATGCCTTTTTTTTAAAATTTCAACTTTTATTTTCAAACTCTGGTATTGGCGGTAGTGAGATTTCATTTTGGATTTTGAATGATAAATGTGGCTACAGCGCTCGGCCCAGAAATTGTCTTAGCCAAACCCCACAAATTTTCTTCAGTAGGTCATTTTGATCTTAATTTAGGAACATTGATCTTAATGGTAGCACTGTCAACTACATACTGACTATATCTGCATTAACATAATAGAATGTACATCCGACTGTTTTAGGTCCGAAGTATCGTAGGACGGAAGTAACATTACCGAAATACCACCGTAAAATAGCATTTTTACGCACATTAAGTGTTAGAGTAGTCATTGTTCGTTATAAAAGCGATTGATATATTGCTACTTGTAAATCTTCCACAAAAATCCGTAGAAGTTGAAGAAATGTCCACATTATGATATAGAAATTTCTACATTATGGAAATAAGAAATTTCGTAAATGATCTAGAAATTTCTACATTAAAAAAGTTAGAAATATCTACATTATGCTAGTTAGAAATTTCTACAATATGAAAGTTAGAAATTTCTACATAATGAAAATAAGAAATTTCTACATAATGAAAATAAGAAATTTCTACAATTTGAAAGCAAGAAATTTCTACATTATGAAGTTGAAAATTTCTACATTATGAAAGCAAGAAACTTCTACATTATAGAAGTTTGAAATTTCTACATTATGAAAGTAAGAAATTTTTACAAATAAGTTACCTTTAAATCTTTATTAAAGCCTATTAATCCTCTTTCTTTTTAACAAAGTCATGACTTAGCAGATTACATTTTCGGTAAATTTAAACCTTCTTTAATATTTTTTGGTATACTTAAACCTTCTTTTATATACTATAGTGGAGCCATTAAAAAATTAAGTGTAATAACAATCGTTAAAAGGAAACGTATTTTTATTTTAAACATTTTTAATTTAGTTTTTTTTTCTGCTTTAAATGGCATGAAACTTTAAAAACAGAAATGAAATTTTTTATGTTTTGATATATTGTAGATATCATCTTCGTCGCCGTTAATGCAGTTAATGCAGTTAATAATGCAATATACCGTTAAAGGCTGTAATTCTGCAATCACGGTACCATTAACGGCTAGAGCTGTTAACGAAAAACGTTCCGTTCTAACCTTTAAAATTAACGGCTAACTGAAATATTTTGTTTTGGTGGTTTGAACGAACCGTCAACGAAACGGATAGAAAAAGTTGGAACATGCCCACTCCTTGCTATTTCTATACATAGGTTCATTTAAATAACACACGCTGTATTTCCATTTTAGTTTAAATAAAAATATTCACCTTAATTAAGATAAATCTTAATGAAAAAATATTCAGATTCGAAAATCATTTTCGAATTTCGTGAATAATTCTAGGTGCAGAAGATGAATTTAAAATTTATCATTAAGAATACTCGATTTCCGATATTTTAACTTTTTGATCCACACTGAAATATGTGTGAACCATGTTTAATATTTTAGAAAACATACCCTTTTTAGATTCTCTTACTTCTTTGCGTGGTATGAAAGTTTTATTTTCTTGTCCCCCGCATAAATATTAGTATTCTAACAATAAATAGTTGAGCATTTTTTTTCTAAATAAAACGCATTTTTTCTAAGACCTTGAACTTCATTAAAATATCCCTGATGCACATATTTTCCAGAACTATGCAGTGTTGTGGTTTAACAATTGATAATACTTCAACGTTGTGTTGTCATTGTCAATATGCATTGTGCATTTAGGTTACGCTGAGAAATCCTATTTTATGCACACAAATCTCAGAGTAAAAATACACAATGTTATATCACATGCAACCTTTTTAAAGATGAAATATTTAATATTTATGTTTCAATTTAAATGCAATATATAATAAATAAAAATTGAAATCGAAAGTCGTCTTCATTGTATTGATATAAGAAGAAAGTTCTTTTCACAAACTCTAATTTTGTAATCCCTATATTTGTTCAATCCGGTGTCGTAGACCTTTGATATTTCAAACTAGATTGTTAAATCAAATGTTTTAAATGTCAAGGATTTACACCATCAGGTTGTGAGAAAAGGGATTAGAAAATTTTGGTTTGTCGCCTGGTAAGAACTTGGCAGAAACGTGGGATGAGATGTCAACTTCAAAAATTTTATCAATCTGAGAAAATTCTCGTCGTTCAGCTGCCGAGTTCACAAATGAAAATTTAAATCAAATTGGTTCTGGAGATCACGAGTTATGATCAGAGTCGGACATAACAACAAACAAACAAACATGATAACTATTTATATAAGATTTTGATATAAGTCACACTAGTACCCGGCGTTATACTTGAAATTAAAAATAATATTATTTTGGAAAAAATATTAATTTTTTAAAGAAAAATCGTTAGAATTTTTTGGCCCCATGGTAAACATGGGTTCCCTCAAAAAAAAAAATGTCAGCCAATATGTTCCAGTCGTTTGGCCAGCTATAATATTTATATGTACAATATACAATATACATATATGTCACGCAAATCTGCCCCTTTGATAAAAGTAAATTTAACCTACATGAAGCATAAAGCCTGACCGCGTCAACCTTGTTGCATCGGCTAGTCCTGTCCATAAAGTAAAGCTGGGTTTCCAAGCTATGATAGCGTTATGAAAAAACGTCGAAAAGGCTAACCTGGACTCACATGACCTTCGGCAAGACTTATGGCCGGTCGAAAATTTTTGAAATCCACGCATAAGAACTTTATTCCAGGACCAAGTCCAACATTGAAAGAGTCACAATTATATTCTTTTTTGTAATTTCGAAAAACCTGCGAAATCTTTTATTGCTAATTTTTCAATGTACGAAGAGTTAAAAATATTAAAAAAGCTGAAGTTATTACTAGAAAGGGAAACAAATTATAAATTTACTCAATTTGCAAAAATAAGAATTTTATGTTCGTCAAACTCAAATTATGTATTCTATACCTTTACCTCTAGGCTTTAGCCACAACACAATTAATCTTATATAAATTATCTATTTACCAATTGCGTTAAAAATAACCAGTTGAAATACTTTCCTGCCTCAAACTGCATAGTTAGTTGCATAATTGCATATGCTAATCTTGATTTAAAAACCTTTTTTTGCAACAATCGCTTTTTTATTGATTTTACATTGTTTTCTTCTTAGTGTTTCTAATTTCAATCCTCAGTTGAAATTAAACTTTTACACTAGTAAGTAATAGTAGGTAAAATACACAATTGTTTTGTAATCTCTTAGAAAACGCAAAGGTTTTCTTATTTTTGAGATAAAATTGAACTTAAAATTAAACTAAAGTGAACTTTGACATTTTGCGCATTTCTGTTCATTTAGTTACTTTTCTCAGAGCTGTAAATTTAAATACTTTGACCAGAGTCTAAAACTAAAAAAAGAAAAGTTACAACTTAGTCACTTAAATGTTAAGTTTCAGCTTAAATGCCACTTCTGACTTAATTCAAACCTGAATTTTACCCCCGGGTTTAAATATTCAACTTGTCCATTTCGGCGAGTTAAATTTTAAACCCGAAAATATCCGCATTCAATTTTGCAATATTTCTATTTAATCTGACGATTTAAATAAATTTATGAAGAAATAGAAATTAAACGAAACAGCTGATGTAGTATTAGTAGTATAATCTCTGTCGATCTGTAATCTCCATAATTCCCGTAATCTGATTGGTTCATATTTTAATTTAAGCTTTCCTTCAGGGTTAAATTTAGAACGGTTAATATTTAAGTAGCAACTCATTATTTTAAAGAACTTTTAAGCTATAACTTAAATTTCCCGCATTCTTTACTTTTAGACTCAGAGCTGAAAACTTGGAAATTTTGCTCAGAGCTGTAAACTTGATTTACTTACAGGGTGACCCACGAAACATGACAATAGGTGAATAGTTTAAAATGTCTTATTCCATAATTAGTTCAGTTGTATGATACTAAAGAAAATAATGAAATATATGATATGGCAAAATTTTTTAATGAAAAAATTGCAAAAAGTCTTTAATACCATGCATGGAGGAAGACATTCAAAACTATTCACCAATTGTCATGTTTCGTAGGACACCCTGTATCTCAGAGCTGTAAACTTAACAGGCCGGATGTTTTAATTTCGTAGAACATTAATTCACAAATATATTTCTTGTCGTAGACTTAAATAAATTGTAAGATTGTAAAACAATAAAAAACATGAATATCTGGTAGTTTACAGAAACCTAGAGATCGCAGGGTTATCTACAAAGAAAGAGACTTTAACGTCGACCTAAAACTTGTTCAAAGTTCTGAAGATTGGTGTTAGTTAGGTCTTTTCTTTCATCAATTAAAAAAACGTCTTTGAAGTCTCATCCTTTGAGGGTAACCCTGTTTGTTCTATTCTCACTAATGCTTGAGGGGGTAGAGGGGTATAGAGGGGTAAAGAACAACGCTAAGTTTAGAATTGAGCCAAATAATAAAATTGTGAATCACCTAAAGAACATTTTAAGATCTAGCTATTTTCACAGTTGGTTTAAGGATTTTAAACAAGGTAGTACAATATATTCATATTTACAATCTTAAAATACAATCTTATTTAGTGAGGAAGGGGGGGGGGCTAGAATTATACAAAACTGGATCTATATGCATTGGTTTGCTAAATTCAAAACACCTTTTTAAATTCTCATCGTTTTTAAGAGAGGGGTTGTTGGCTATATCAGAATTGAATTTGGTATAAATATATTCAGAGTTAATTTAACTTTCTTCTGATATGCCTGAAATAAGAAAATGATAAAAACGTTATGTTATTTAACGACCGGCGAAATTCAGCATTTGAATTTAACGTTTAAAATTGAGATAATTTAAACTATACCGAATCTTTAATATCTAAAAAATGCCGAATCAATTCTGTATATTCGTCTTATAGTAAATTTTTTGACATATTTCATAGTTTGAAATTCTGAAGTTCTCCTGGCCGACCACAGAGCATAGATACCATGGTTGAAATGAGTAAAAGATTAAGAGTTTTAGAAAAGTTTTTAATTTTAAAGTAGAAACCAGAAAGTTTCTTTATAGAAAAACCAAAATTGAAAATAATCTAAACAAGGGTATTATAGTTTGAAATATCAGAGTCCTGTGACCTCAGGTTCTAAAGTTATAATGATAAAAAAGTAAAGTTTTCTGTTATAACAACTCACTTTGAAAGGAAACCACAATAATTTCCCAACAGAAAACAGAAGAAAGTTTTATGTAGGAAGAATTTTTGATTTTTGAAAACATGCTGAAACTAAAATGTTTTGTTATACACCTCTAAAAGTCTTTGTGTGCATTTCTAATTACAGGGCTACCTACAAAGGATAAGACTTTATTTACGACCTAAGAATATGAGGCTATAAACTTGGGATTTTGTCTAAGTACATATAGCCTTGTAATGATAATGTGTTTTGGCACAAATATTAACAAAGGAATTGAGTCTTTGTAACAAACTCTGATTTTCTAATACCTATACTTTTTCCACCTCATGGTGTGAACCTTTGATGTTCACAGAATTCATAGTTTTAAATATCTAAGGTCTACGGCATTGGATTACAAAGATAAAGAGATTAGAAAATCATAGTTTGTGACAAAGACTCAATTCCTTTACAGCCCAGGAATAATCATGAATTCAATAAAAAAGTCTAAACAAATATGATTTTAAATGGAAATTTCCGGTGTAAGAACCAATTCTTTTTGTCTCAAACTATGGCTTTGGACTCAACTATGTACATAAAAAGACTGTGAAAAGGGTGTCATAATGAGCATGAGAGTTGAGTACAGAACTTGAGTTCATCTTTTTAAGACAAGAATTGTAAAACCAATATCTCTAAATCTTTAACCATTTACAATGTTTTTTTTTGGACACTCTCATCCTAAACTAAGCTTTCAGAGCATACTTTAGTGATCTGTAGTTCATTGACCGATTTGGGGGACTGGGGGTCTGTGCTCTGTTTAAAAACTATGTATGTTTTCCACCTCTCAGGCCTCTTTATTGAATCCCTTTATTTGCATGGTGCCATGTGCCATGCTCCTGAACAACGTAAAATATTTTCCACTTGAGAAATCAGTGGTTCCCTTTATCTAGGGTATAAAAGAAAATTAAGGCATCTCTCGAAGTCACTTCAATATTGTCTAGTTAAAACGCTCACAGTCTACCCAGAGATCCATTAAGTGGAAACTATTTGCTCTTTTCTTCACTCTCTTGGTGATTCAAGTGTCTACTGCCAGAATTAACTCTGAAAGCTATTTCAACCCTAGCGTCTGTCACAATGATTTTAAGCCCTGTTGGAGTGAATCTCAGACAAGGGTATTATGGGAACCATTGTAAATCGGACATACCCCTCTTAAAGTGGAGGTTCACTTAAAATTACATGTACACAGTCCCTTTAAGTATATTAATATAAACATTTTATTATCATGTTTTACTTACAGTTGAAGAATGACTCCGCAATATATAATTATAAAAGATGACAAACTACGGAAAAGTATAAATTCAATTGAAATTGTTAAATTGAGTGAGTGACAGTTTAGGTGTGAGTAGTAGGGTGTTCAGTATATTAAAGTTCTGACAATTAAAATTGCAGCTCTTATACAGTAGAAGTCTAGAATTCATAAATCTTTGGAATAGGAAGAAGTTTTGCATGACATAAAGTCTTTAACCACCAACCTATCTTTTTTTACAACCCTAAATATCAAGATTTAGTGACAATATTCTCATGGAAATTACAAAATGTTTATATTTTAGCTCCCAGCAAGAAAATGATGAACAAACAAGAATCTGAGAGAGCAGAGGAGCTCTTGGAAATTATGATGAAGGAAGTTAAACCTAGACAGGAGGCACTCTCCTCTCATGGGTATATTTTTATATTTATGTATAATTGTAATAAACATAGGATGAGAATTCAGAGAAAGGAACTAAATACTTGCCACAAAATCTAATTTTCTAATCCCTATATATTGTATTATACTAGTTAAACTATAAAACAGTCAAAGTTTAAAATATCAAAGGTTTGCACCACCAGGTTACAAAGATATATGGATCACAAAGCTAGAATTTGTGAATAATCAGTTTCATTTTGTATCCTCTTCATGTCTTTTATCAGGTTAGAGGAATTGTAGACAAAATTTCAAGGAACATTCTATTTATTTGTAGAGAGGCATGTCAGATTCAAAACATTACACCTAGTTAGCTTTGTATGATGAAGAGACATCTATGTATTATTAAACTTTAAAATTAATTTTTTTCTCCTTTCGTTTTCCATATTATTGATCAGAAAAAAGTTTATCATTTACGTTTGTGAATTATGCATATCTAAATGAAGGGTCAATTGAAAATAGGCCTTTTTATCTATACCAGTGAAGTTAAAAACTGAAAATTTAATTTTTGCTTTTTTATGAACGTTCCAACATTCTTATATCTCAAATCCTGATAAGAAAATATTTAAACAAAATACTCTCAGTATGATTTATAATTGTACTTCTTGAATTAAGCAATCATATCTCAACAAAACTCGTAAATTTCGTACGCAAAAAAATAAAATTAAAATTTTGATCATGTTGTATTTGTTACAAAATGTTTTGCAAAGCAACTCTCAATTTAAGATAAAAAGAAAATAGTTTCTATTATAGTTTATGGTAAAAGTTTCTATTATAGTTTATGGTAAAAGTTTCTATTATAGTTTATGGTAAAAGTTTCTATTATAGTTTATGGTAAAAGTTTCTATTATAGTTTATGGTAAAAGTTTCTATTATAGTTTATGGTAAAAGTTTCTATTATAGTTTATGGTAAAAGTTTCTATTATAGTTTATGGTAAAAGTTTCTATTATAGTNCAGCACTGTAAACTACTGTTGATTTAAACTTTGAAAATGATATACAACACTGACCTTTTGGCAATTTTGTTTTACAGTTTACAATATATACATCTTACATAAAACTCTGGAGTATAAAAGGGAAAACGGAACAATACACAAATAAATCATTTCCTTCTATCGAAATAAATGCATATCTGTCCTATAAATTAAATTCAATTGATCATATTGGTTGAATAATATATATATTTAAAGGTTTTATTGATCTAATAATATTTAGGCTCTGTGTGGTTCTGATGAGAGTAAGTGGAAGGAAGCTACAACTGCTGCTGTTGATGCTATCAACGCCAGAGAACGCTTCTGGGACAGTATTGCTCAGTGTATTAGGAAGAAAGTAAACAATGTGTAAAAGATTTCATAAACACTTGTCACAAACTGTAATTAATTTTTAAATGTACATATCTTTGCAACTTGATGGTGTTAACCTTGTATTTTTCAAGATTTGGCTGACTGATATATGTTTTGAAATATCAAAGGTTTACAACATCAGGTTTAAAGGTTTAAGGGTTTTTAAATTAGAGAATGTGGCATCAGTTCCATTGTTGTTGGTGGTTAGCATGGTGTCTACTCTATATTTGTTAAACGTGCTAATTAATGGTTGTTTGGTGTCATTGTAAAATAATGACAGTTTATTATTATCTTTTAGAAACTTAGTTTAAAAATTCCAGAATGTAGAAAGATTTTAAACTTCTGAAACATTAAATTTCATAATTTCTACTGCATAAGAATATTCACTTTATTTGATACATTTAATATTTGTAAAACATGCAAGCAATAAACTTTTATAAGTTAAATTTGACACAAATGTTCCCATTTTAAACCTTACCCATCGAATCAGAGATAGAATTATATTCACATATATTATGTACAAGTGAGAATACATTATATTATTCTCTACAAAAACGTGAAGTGGAGTTTTTTTAAGAATTTATTGTTAGTTTTGTATTTTATTTTGTTTAACAGTTCTAATATCTTTTTAAAAAGTACAACGTCAATTTCTCTTAAGACCAAAGCATTTATTTTTTCAAGGACAATTCTATTTTAGTAGAAATTGATTTTTTTAACATATGGTGTTATCCGTAATATTCTTTGTAATATAAATTTTTATATATTTTTATGTATGTATGTACAAATTGGAAAATAAAAGTTAAATAATAATTATTTAAATTTTAAGGTATAGAGTGTTCCAATGAACATTGGAATAAAGAGACGTTTTAAATTTAAATTTGATAACTATGAAGGATTAAAAAAAAGGCTTTAAATATTGAGATTTTGAAAATTTGTTCTGTCTTAATATTTTATTTTGCATTTAGGTGAAGTTGAGAAATCTTATCCTATGTACAAAACTCAGAGTAAAAAATGCGCAATGTTATAACTAATATATCTATATTTATCATTATTTGCTTAAGAAAGAGATAAATTGCAATGCGAGTTTTATTTTAAAGGGCTATGTAAGGTAGTTGAACTGAGTATACAGTGTTGTGGAAAACTTCTTTCGGATTCATTTGAGACATATAAAACTTTTTAAAGATCTGTAAATCCTGAATTTGAGCGCAAATTCGACGTTTCAAACTTCTACTTTGGGGGTGGAAACGTTTTCAGAATTAGTTTTTTTTAAATTATTAAATAACAATATCGAAAAATAAAGTAAAAATTATACGGTTATCTAATTAGATGGTTAGGAACATATTTCTCAAAATAAAGGAATTGAGTCTTTGGAACAAAATTAAATATTTAAACCTCAATATCTTTAGAACAGGATGTTGTACACCTTTGATATTTCAAACTCAGATTATTTGATTTAACAGAATTCATAGTTTGAAATATCTAAGGTCTGCAACATTTGGTTCTAAAGATATAGTGATTAGAAAATCAGAGTTTGTGGCAAAAACTCAATTCCTTTGTCAATAAATCAATGCTAGAATCGATTATTTCGTTTTCATTATTATATTGAATTTCTTATCTTCTTTGAATTTATTCGCAGATTTCTTCAAATTCTTCAAATGTCGTCTTTTCAATAATAATTCTAGAAAATTTGCGAAAATCTTTGTGAATAATGAGAAAATAGAAACTAATAATTTAACAAGATAAAATATATTTATCCTCTGCTGACCTCTGTCGAGGCTATCACTGAGTTTATGAAGTTTCATATATTTGCTGTTTGGGACTTTATGTCAGTTGTAAAAACTATGCAGGTAATATATTCTTAATTCTAATTTTGTCTCTGTTCATGTCAAAATTATAGAAAATATGTCTACAGGGAAACCCTAAAACATTCCTTACATACGGGGAGGGGGGATTATTAAAGAATGGGGAGGAGAAAAAGAGTTTTTAAGAAAATATATTTTTATCCCAATTGTATTTCAGAGGCATCTAACCTGTGTTGAAGTTCCCTGGGTTCCAGTTCAACATCCTGAGCTAGCTCGTCTAATCAATGATATCGGTAACTTCTACAAATTAATTACAAACTAACTCAAAGATTTTCCTTGCTGAATGCAACTTTTAATTCTAAAACATAAGATATCATAAAACTATTAAAAATAGTTAAAACCTTAATACATTTTTAAATTCATATTAATAAGTATATTGTCAATATTTATATTCAGTGCTAACTGAGGAATCTGACGTAAACTGGGATAATGAAGCTCAAAGTCACTTTGTGATGTACATGGAGGCTATGAAGGAGGTTGGGGTGGATATGAGCCAGATTACCCTCTTCATGTCTTTTATCAGGTTAGAGGAATTGTAGACAAAATTTCAAGGAACATTCTATTTATTTGTAGAGAGGCATGTCGGATTCAAAATGTTACACCTAGTTAGCTTTGTATGATGAAGAATGAATGAGATATCCATGCTTTTAACTTTAAAAATTCAAGGGACATTCCTATCCATTTATAGAATGGCATGTCAGATACAAAACGTTACCCCTAATAAGCTTATTATCCATGTATTATTAAACTTTAAATTAATTTTTTTTCTATTTTTGTTTTTCCATATAATTTGTTTAGTTCATAATTAACTATTGTGAATTAAGCATATCTTTAAATGGAAGGTAAATTGAAAATAGGCTTTTTTATCTATACCAGTGAAATTAAAAACTATTAAAAACATTCTTATATCCCATATCCCGATAAGAAGATATTTAAACAAAATACGCTCAGTATGATTTATAATTGTACTTCTTGAATTAAACAATCATATCTCAACAAAACTCATAAAGAACCTGTCAAATCATTCGTTGGGATGTTTAGAAAGATTTTCTTTTGCCCTCAGCAGAGAGACTCTAATCCCAGAGATGTTTCTAGAGATTCTAAATCAGGTAGAGAGCATGCTGGTCAATATAGGATACATCTCAGCAGAGAGAGTCTAATACCAGAGATGTTTCTAGAGATTCTAAATCAGGTAGAGAGCATGCTGGTCAATATAGGATAAATCTCAGCAGAGAGACTCTAACCCCAGAGATGTTTCTAGAGATTCTAAATCAGGTAGAGAGCATGCTCAATATAGGATAAATCTCAGCAGAGAGGCTCTAATCCCAGAAATGTTTCTAGAGATTCTAAATCAGGTAGAGAGCATGCTGGTCAATATAGGATAAATCTCAGCAAAAAGACTCTAATCCCAGAGATGAATCTAGAGATTTTAAATCAGGTAGAGAGCATGCTGGTCAATATAGGATTAATCTCAGCAGAGAGACTCTAATCCCAGAGATGTTCCTAGAGATTCTAAATCAGGTAGAGAGCATGCTGCTCAATATAGGATGAATCTCAGTAGAGAGACTCTAATCCCAGAGATGTTTCTAGAGATTCTAAATCAGGTAGAGAGCATGCTGGTCAATATAGGATAAATCTCATGAACTGAAGAGGGTCAACCCCTACCTAAATATATTCACAAAATGAGGAAATATCATTTAATTTGTCGTAGTTTGGACCATATACGTTGCTATATGAAACAGCCTATCTCCTAAAAAAGAATTTATATTAAAAGGGGTAACTTGCCCCCCCCCATCCCATCTCATGTTGCTGATTTAAAGAGTTTAAAATATCAGGATGATAAGAGCAAGGAATCTCACAAGAAGTTCACCTACTACCTTGAGAGACATGTTGAGGTTGATGGGGATGAACATGGACCAGCTGCCATCAATATGGTCAAGGTACCAACCAATATATATATAAAGTTTACTTACCCCGCCCCCTCTATTATATTCTGTACTTTCAGCAAATAAAATAAAATATACTAATAAAATATCATTTACATTTACTAGATAACTTTCAAAATATAGAATCCCAGCACTGTAAACTACTGTTGATTTAAACTTTGAAAATGATATACAACACTGACCTTTTGGCAATTTTAGTGATTTGTTTTACAGTTTACAATATATACATCTTACATAAAACTCTGGAGTATAAAAGGGAAAACGGAACAATACACAAATAAAACATTTCTTTGTATCGAAATAAATGCATATCTGTCCTATAAATTAAATGCAATTGATCGTATTGGTTGAATAATATATATATTTAAAGGTTTTTATTGCTCTAATAATATTTAGGCTCTGTGTGGTTCTGATGAGAGTAAGTGGAAGGAAGCTACAACTGCTGCTGTTGATGCTATCAACGCCAGAGAATGCTTCTGGGACAGTATTGCTCAGTGTATTAGGAAGAAAGTAAACAATGTGTAAAAGATTTCATAAACATTTTCAAACTGTAATTTTTAAATGTATATATCTTTGCAACTTGATAGTGTTAACCTTATTTTTCAAGATTTGGCTGACTGATATATGTTTTGAAATATCAAAGGTTTACAACATCAGGTTTAAAGGGTTATTAAATTAGAGAATGTGGCATCAGTTCCATTGTTGTTGGTGGTTAAAATGATGTCTACTCTATATTTGTTAAACGTGCTAATTAATGGTTGTTTGGTGTCATTGTAAATTAATGACAGTTTATTATAATCTTTTAGAAACAATTGTTTTAAAAGTCCAGAATGTAGAAAGATTTTAAACTTCTGAAACATTAAATTTCATAATTTCTACTGCATAAGAATATTCACTTTATTTGATACATTTATTATTTGTAAAACATGCAATAAACTTTTATAAGTTAAATTTGACACAAATGTTCCCATTTTAAACCTTACCCATCGAATCAGAGATAGAATTATATTCACATATATTATGTTCAAGTGGGAATACATTATATTATTCTCTACAAAAACGTGAAGTGGAGTTTTTTTAAGAATGTAAACAGATTCAGTGTTATATTCAGACTGGGATTTCTTTATATTTCTCTCAAAATCTGTATTTTGGGCATTTGGTGTCTTCCACAGCTGTATTTTATTTTTGTTGAACAGTTCAAATATTTTTTAAAACCAAAGCATTTATATTTTCAATGACAATTCTATTTTAGAAGAAATTTAATTTTTTTTTAAAATTTTCATACACATCGTGTTAATCGTAATATTTAAAAAAAAAAATTCTTTATAAATGTATGTCAAATTGGAAAAAAAATTTAAAGGGAGTGACCGGCTATGTAAGGTAGTTGAACTGAGTACGCAGTATTGTGGAAAACTTCTTTCGGATTCATTTGAGACATATTAAAGATCTGTAAATCCTTAGTTTGAGCACAAATTCGACGTTTAAAACTCCAACTTTGGGGATGGATACGAATTTTCAGAATTGGTTTTTTCAATTATTAAATATCGACGACAACATGAAATGTAAAAAAAGTTCTACAATAAACTACAGACGTCATGTATAAGAACATGTTGAGAAAATAAAAATTTATCTTATCATCGAAAATAATAATCTTGTTCAATTATTAGTTTCTATTTTCTCATTATTCTGGTTTCTCATAATTCACAAAGAATTCGCAGATTTTCTAGAATTAATATAAAAAACGACATTTGAAGAATTTGAAGAAATCTACGATTAAATTCAAAGAAAATAAGAAATTTAATAGAATAATGAAAACAAAATAATCGTTTTTAGCATTGATTTATTGACAAATTTCTTTTGAGAAATATGTTCCTAACCATCTAATTAGATTACTGTATAATGTTTACTTTATTTTTCGTTGTCCTTTTTAATAATTTCAAAAAATTATTAAATTAAGCTTTTAGAGCGCATCGCTTCCCTATTCCTGTTAACAATTTTAGCTTTCAACTCTGAAAGTCACTATTTTAAATCGTTCTCAAAGGTTCGCGGGTTTTTCTGTTTAAATTTACAGGACATTTCATAGACAGGACATTTCATAGACAGGACATTTCATAGATAGGACATTCCATAGACAGGACATTTCATAGACAGGACATTTCATAGATAGGACATTTTATAGACAGGACATTTCATAGACAGGACATTTCATAGATAGGACATTCCATAGATAGGACATTCCATAGACAGGACATTTCATAGATAGGACATTTTATAGACAGGACATTTCATAGACAGGACATTTCATAGATAGGACATTTCATAAGCAGATTAGATTTTTCATGGGCAGATAATTTCATAGCCAGAGAAGAATTTTCATAAATAAAGTATAATTCTAAAGACAGAAAAGCATTTCTTTTTTTCAGAGACAATTTAAAAATGTGTCGCAATTTTAGGAATTTTTTATCGGTTTAAGATTCATGTATGATAACAATACATTTAAATCATTTCTTTTGAAATGTGTATGTCTCAACTAACATTATACCAAAACTACATTATGTATATTATATTTTAAAGCAAAAATATAAATAATATGTGCAGAAAAAATCAGTGAGATGTAGAGAGACAGACCAGGGTATACCTTATATCTATGAAAAATATTCTCTGTGTATGAAATGTTCTGTCTATGAAATATACAATCTATGAAATTTCCTATTTATGAAATGTTCTCTATGAAATGTCCCAAAACCTGTTTTACTTGGTCAATAGCTTATTAAGAGACAAAATTAATGCCTTTTTTATCTATCTACAGGAGGAGGAATGTTTGAAAGAGGAAGCAGCCCCAGCTATTGAGGCTGTCCTATTCGCCGACACGAAGGACCCCGAGATAGCAAACATCAACGGGAAGCTCGTCAACTCAGAAGAGATCTTGGAGAGCGACATCCTTGTCGAAGGCGGAAAGATCACCAAGATCGAGAAGAACCTCGAGATCCCCGAGGGAGCAAAGGTTATCGATGCCCAGGATAGGTTTGTACTACCCAGAGGAGTGGATTATGGAACCAGGATTCTTTCTCAAGAGTTTACCGACAGCGACGGCGACGGTCTCGCTGAGCGCACAAAGTTGTTTATTCTTGGCGGTATCACGACAATAGTCGACTCCATCCAAAGCGATGACTTTGAAAAGTCATTTGATATCTTGGAGGTGTTAAAAGATTCTGAAAATGAATTTTACTGCGATTTATCTGTGAAACTCCATGTCCCGGAGTGGAACGGTGAAATGGAGGCGGTAGTTGAGAAGAGTGCAACAGAGTTCAAAGCTTCCATGTTAGCCCGGAGAAGGTGAGTGACGAAGAACTCCTGGAGCTAGGACGGGTGGTGGCTGGTGTCGGAGGAGTTCTCTGCGTAGATGCAGTAATAGGATCGGAGGATACTCGGACTCCAGCAGAGGATATTGAGGAGGGATTGATTAGAAGAGTTTGTTCTCTAGCACATCAGGTACAGTGGTAGGCGGTTATATCAATAAAATAAAGACGACTTTTTATTTAAGTTTTAATTGTTAACAAGCCTTTTTTGAATTACAAATTTACAAGTAGCAAAGATAAGCTCCATGT